TCTTTCTCTCTCTTTCTCTCTTTCTCTCTCTCTCTTTCTTTCTTTCTCTCTTTCTCTTTCTTTCTTTCTCTCTTTTTCTTTCTTTCTCTCTTTCTCTTTCTTTCTTTCTCTCTCTCTCTTTCTTTCTTTCTCTTTTTCTTTCTCTCTCTCTCTTTATCTCATCTCTATTTCTTGTCTCTATCTGTATCTCTTACCTCTATCTCTATATCTCTATTTATCTTTCTTATTTCTATTTCTATTTATAGCTCTTATATCTATAACTCATTTTTATCTTTATTCATATCTCCTATCTCTATCCCTTAATTCCATCTCTAAGTCCATTTATCTCTGTCTCTCTTGTTTCGTTACCTTATTTCTCTCTTATTTCTATCTCTAATTCTTACCTCTATTTCCTATCTCTCTCTAATTCTTGCCTCTATCTCTAATTATTACCTCTATTTCCTATCTCTCTCTAATTCTTGCCTCTATCTCCTATCTCTATCTCTTTCTTATTTCTATCTCCTATCTCTTATTTCTATCTCTATCTCTAATCTGTTTCTATGTTTCTATGTTTCTCTGTCTCCTATTTCTGTATTTTATTTCTATGGCTATCTTTTATCTTTATCTCTTTCTCTTATCTTTATCTCTCTTTCTGTCTCTAGTCTGTCTGTCTGTCCGTCAGTCTGTCTGTTAATCGATCGGTTTGTTTGTCTGCATTAATGTCAGTTTGTTCGCATGTCTGTCTGCGTGAATGAATGTATGTATGTATGTGTGTGTGTGTGTGTGTGTGTGTGTGTGTGTGTGTGTGTGTGTGTGTGTGTGTGTGTGTGTGTGTGTGTGTGTGTGTGTGTGTACGTATGTATGTATGTGTGTACTTATGTATGTATATTTGTATGGATGGATGGGTGTGTATATATGCTTGTATGTATGTATGTATGTATGTTTGTTTGTATGTATGAATGCTGTTTGTCTCTGTCTGTCTGTTTGTCTGTCCGTCTGCCTGTCCGTCTGCCTGTCTGTCTTTCTTTCTTATTCTCTCTCTCGTTCTCCCCCTCTCCCCTTATCTCCCCCCTCTCTTCTTCTCTTCCCCTCTAATCTCCTCTCCCTCTATCAGTTTATCAATCAATCAGTCTCTCTATCTGTCCACTTATCTATTCCTCTCTTTCTCTCTCCTGTGAATTACCCCTGTTCCTCATTCCTCTCTTTCTCCTGAACAGGTTGTTTAAAAGCAAATCTCCAGTTTGTAGCAAAAGAGTTAGTTCCTGTCAGGTCGAAGCGGTAAAATCTGTTACATTGTTTCCCTGCGTTTGAACTTTGGAATAGTTGACTTTATGCAAATTAGCATTTTTATTTATTTATTTATTTTTCATTTATTATTATTATTTTTTAAAAATATTATAGTGGTTGTTTGTACCCTCTAAAGTTTGGTCTTTACGGTATGGACGTGGCAAGCTATAGGGAATAATTAATGATGGTATTCCTGTAGAGAATAAAAAGATCCAGTCAACATTAGAAATAATTTGTAGACGCGAACGGTAAAGCCACAAATAGAGGGAAAATATCCATGAAAGTCGTATGATTTACCTCTATTTTGCCACGCATACCGAAGGGAAAGACGTTGTTTGTTTTTGCATAAATTCCGTGACGTGGCGTTGGGAACTGGAAAGTCAAATTACCCACTTTAATTGTTATTTTCTCTATGATTTTTTTCTTTGTTGTTGTTGTTGTTAAAAAGGGTGGATTTTGCGTCCCCCAACTCCAGCCAACAGTTCTTGGGAAACCGCAGGTCTCAGTGGGGGATAAGGTTGAATTTACACATATTAGGCATTTGAAAGCAAAACGACGGGGGGGGGGGACTAAAAATTGTATTTTAAGTAATAATGCAAGTGCAAATTTCGAGAGAAGAAAAAAAATCAGCCAATATTAGGTCACGGAAGATTCGACCCGACAAGGCGCGACCGAACGAGCGAATGAACCCCTTCTTAAAACACACAATATGCCATTAATATCGTCATATAAACCGATCACCTTACTTTCCTATTAGGGGACTCCGGTGACAATATACACCTAGTCAATAGCTTCGGCTTACTGCTTCATCCATACCACTATTCTACATAATTAAAGGTCAAAATTAGGTTTACCGTATGGTTGCAGGGAAGGGTGGGTTGGGAAAAGACGAAGCCCTGACGAGCCTCTGCAACAGGAACCGGTATTGCACGTTGCTGAATTCGGGTGTTTTTTTTTTTTTTTTCTCACTGTATTCAATTCACCGGAATATTGTGAAAGAATTCGGACACGCAAGTATCACTGTCAACGAAATAAGAAGAAGAAGAAGAAGAAGAAGAAGAAGAAGAAGAAGAAGAAGAAGAAGAAGAAGAAGAAGAAGAAGAAGAAGAAGAAGAAGAAGAAGAAAAAGAAGAAGAAGAAGAAGAAGAAAACGAATACATCCCATTAAAAAGAATCATGATAGTATACAAACACATGGCATATATCAGGAACATACGCTTGAGAGATATGTATGTTGGTGCATTGTGATGAAATTTGAAGAGAAAAATGCCCGAAATCACAATGCATTTCTAAGAGACTGATAATAATGATAAGCCAAGAAAGTACTTGCAGAATTACTATGCGTTCTTTACTGTGAGTTAAGAAGACTGCAATGGCCATTTTCCACCCTATATTCTCATTGATTTCCTCGTCTCTGTTCGCTTTTGTGGATTAATCTTAATATCGATTAATTTACTTTTATACTGCCTTCAAGACCCAGATTTTGCCTATGTCTACTATTCTGAGCTGAGATCTATGAGAAAAATTACTTGAAAAAAATATGTTGTAAGGTTATTATCAGTTCTTATTATTCTCCTTTTCAACTTCCATTTCTTCTCCTTTTTTTCTATTTCCTCATCTTGTTTTTTTTCTTTTTTTCTCTCTCTCTCTTCGTAATTCCAATTTTCTTCTATTGTTGTTGTTGTCTTTTCTGTTTCCTTTTTTCTTATTTAGTTTTTGTCTATTTTTTTCTTTTCATTTTACTTCTTTCTTCTATTGTTTTCTTCTTAATGTTTCTTCCTTTCTTTTTTTCTTCTCCTTTGTCTCATTCCCTTACTACTACTACTTATTATTATTATTATTATTATTATTATCATCATCATCATTATTCTTCTTATTATTATTATCATCATTATTCTTATTATCATTATTCTTATTATCATTATTATTATCATCATTATCATTATCATTATCATTTTCATTATTATCCTCTTCCTCCTCCTCCTCCTCCTCCTCCTCCTCCCCCTCCCCCTCTTCTTCTTCCTCCTCCTCCCCCTCTTCTTCTTCCTCCTCCTCCCCCTCTTCTTCTTCCTCCTCCTCCCCCTCTTCTTCTTCCTCCTCCTCCCCCTCTTCTTCTTCCTCCTCCTCCCCCTCTTCTTCTTCCTCCTCCTCCCCCTCTTCTTCTTCTTCTTCCTCCTCCCCCTCTTCTTCTTCCTCCTCCTCCGTCTCCTCCTCTTCCTCTTCCTTTTCATCCTCCTCCTCCTCATCATCATCTTCCTCTTCATCCTCCCCCTCCCCCTCCCCCTCTTCCTCTTCCTCTTCCTCTTCCTCTTCCTCTTCCTCTTCCTCTTCCTCTTCCTCTTCCTCTTCCTCTTCCTCTTCCTCCTCCCCCTCCCCCTCCTCCTCTTCCTAATAAGTTAGTGTTATTTACCTGATGAGTAAAATAAACAAAAAATATCCTGCTTAAAAACAAACATTCATTGCTCTTTTTCTTCTTCATATTTTCTACTTCTTCTCCTTACTGTATACACTTGTAATTTCTTTTTTTCCGTTTTCAGAAGCATTGTGTAAAGATAATGAAAATGAAGGACATTTTCCTTTGTCTCTCTCTTTCTCTCAAGACAATTTGCTGACTTTGATAACTTAATGATATCAATAAAACTTTAAACTTTAGATATGATTAGTATTTGCAAGCTAAAGTCTCTGCATCAATTTAATTATGAAGTTAAGCTTGTTTTTTTTGTACATATTTATTATTTCTTTAAAACTTTCCAACATCGAAGGTTATCTTGGCGGAAAAGCTCCCAAGTATAGCATTATGATAACGCATTGTGGCAAATAGGGTAAAATTGAGTTATCAATCTAGACAAGTGGACAGAAGAATGGGATGAAAGAGAGAAGGAAAAGGAAATAAGAAGAAGCAAAGACCATGCAAAATTAGTTGAGGCAAAGACCTAAATCCAAGGCGAGGGTGATCTCCTTCAGTCAGTCAGTACAGTCAGTCTCCATCTCCTGAGCCCCCCACGACAATGACGAGCAAGGGACCGGAGGAGGTTTTATATGTAATATTGAGTAGCTTGCTTTACTTCCGGTCATTCTTTGAAATTATGCTTTTCTTAAGTCTAGTATATTCTTTGAAGAGCATACTTAAATAATTTAAAAAGTACAAACTTTAGAATTCTGTTGTTTTTTTGTTTTCCTTTTTGTGATTTTATCTTCTAATTTGAACATTTTTTTCTTGAGCTTTATCCTAGCAATCATAGGAGAAATTTCAGCAAAACGTTCTTTCAAAATATCCTCAAAAAACTTCCTTCTTCAGATTTCTTCACTTTAGATTAAGGATTACCAGCCTACCTTTGATCTTATATATATGTTTTTTCCTCAAATTGGAAGCGATGGATAATAATATAGATGAAAAATATGGTTTAAGTTACATTTAGGTCTTAAAATCATAATATTTTTGCAGAGATTATTACAATAGTTTTTTTTTCTTCTTCTTCTTCTTCTTCTTCTTAAACCCTATACTTTTAAAAATTCTATGTACAGTCTGGTCAACAGTTTTATATCAAAGAATATGAAGCATACATTTCTGTTTAGTAGTGTATGTTAAAGAAAGATTCATCAAAAGATATTAAAACAACCTTAAATATAGGATGATACAGTCTGACAAAATGTCTATACACACTTTTACATTTCACAACAGAATCAACCAGATATTATAAATAGCGTCCCTGACAAAGGAAGAAAACCAAATGTATCAGTGAAATATTTATTACATAAAATACATCACTTCGGGAAAAAAAATTATTGTTACTCTCCTCCTACAAAATTGAGCACTGGGAAACAAGGCATGTCGATACTATTACCACTTGACTCCTATCAATATCTGATGACATTTTCATTATCGGGACATTAATATCACATGGCCAAATACCCTTTATGTTGAGTAATAGCAGTAGTATTTCCAGAAATTGTTAGCAAAAGACTGGGAACACTTTTTGATATGATTGTACTGTAAGAAACATGTATGTGGTATTCACTTTAGTTTGTCAAAATGTGAGATGTCTTTTATATTAGGAAGATATGGCACCCTCAAGAATCTTTTAAAAAAATATACACATCTCTTTTAACCTACTTTTCTCCAAGTTAGCATAATATCGCTGAAAGAACTTCGGATTCTGCAAAGATTCGATCAAAATTACCGGAAGACAGATTTTGGTCACGAGGAATTTCCAATCACGTTCTCCCTTCCTCATCTCAAAACCACCAATGCTGGCTGATTCTCGCAAAGACATCCTGCTTAAATGTCCTCTAGGCCTGGCAGGGGGAAAGTGCCTGCGAATGCCTCCACCTTCTCTCGCAGGGAGATGATGCGCTCCTTGAACTCTGCGTCTCCGAGCACACGATTGAAGTCCACCAGCTTTGGGCCGGACTTCGCCTGGACGTCCTGAGCAATCTTGAAGCCTGGAAAGGCAGGCTTTGATGAAATTCACATCAAGCACTGAGTAAGTGAGAGTGAGAGTGAGAAAAAGAGGGAGAGGGAGAGAGAGAGAGAGAGAGAGAGAGAGAGAGAGAGAGAGAGAGAGAGAGAGAGAGAGAGAGAGAGAGAGAGAGAGAGAGAGAGAGAGAGAGAGAGAGACACAGAGAGAATTTAAGTACATGTAAAGAAAAACTACAGTGTGTATGTGTCCGAGCGTGCAAGCACACATGCACATACATTTCTGTTTCCTGTTCTATGCATACAGAAGAAATTGCAAGCTTACACTTACTCTCATCAATGAATGCAACGACCTGATCCATCTCCGCCTCCTTCAGCCCTCTGGTGGTGAGAGCAGGTGTGCCCAGCCGGATGCCACTTGGATTCAGGGCAGATTTGTCACCGGGAACTGTCAAAACAACCAAGGGGATTTCACTCAACACATGATTACATTGCAGCTTCTTGTCACTACTATAGCGGGTCACTTTGATACAGTCTGTTTACTTTGGCTATACTTATCTTACAACCTGAATTTTTTGAGTGAAAAATAAATAGAATAAAACAAAAAAAATTTAAAACTAATAATAGACTGAAAAATAACAAAAACACATAATAGTAAGAGTAATGGAACAATCATAATAATAATAATAATAACAGTAATGACTGTAATAATAATAGTAGTAATAATAACAACAACAGTAATAATATAATGATAATAACAATAACAATAGTAACAGTAATAATATAATAATAATAACAATAACAATAATAACAATGACAATGATAATAAAAACAATAGTAATAATAATGATAGCAATAATGATAATAAACAATAATAGTAATGAAAAATAAAATAAATAAATAAATAAATAAAATAAAATAGAGCAACTCCTACTTTAAACAGATACATGTTCCTCTGAAATTAACATGCTGCTTCCAAAAACCATCCAGATTAATTGAAAATAAAAACTACAATCCCTTTTGTATACCCAAAATTCTATTCTTTTTCCATCTTGCACCCTTTTATGGAATCATGAGACGCCAAATACATCCAGCCAGCAACCGGGACAGCAGGAAAATAATAGATAATAATAATGATAATGATGATAATAACAACGATGATGATAATAACAACGATGATGATAATAACAACGATGATGATAATAACAACGATGATGATAATAACAACGATGATGATAATAACAACGATGATGATAATAACAACGATGATGATAATAACAACGATGATGATAATAACAACGATGGTGATAATAACAACGATGATGATAATAACAACGATGATGATAATAACAACGATGGTGATAATAACAACGATGATGATAATAACAACGATGATGATAATAACAACGATGGATGATAATAACAACGATGATGATAATAACAACGATGATGATAATAACAACGATGATGATAATAACAACGATGGTGATAATAACAACGATGGTGATAATAACAACGATGATGATAATAACAACGATGGTGATAATAACAACGATAGTGATAATAACAACGATAGTGATAATAACAACGATAGTGATAATAACAACGATAGTGATAATAACAACGATAGTGATAATACCAACGATAATGATAATACCAACGATAATGATAATACCAACGATAATGATAATAACAACGATAATGATAATAACAACGATAATGATAATAACGATAATAATAATAATAATAATAATAATAATAATGACAATAATAATGACAATGACAATGGCGTTAATGATAATGATAATAATGATAACAATAACAATAACAATAACAATAACAACAATAATAATAATATTAATAATAATAATAATAATAACAATAACATCCTGTACATTTATTCTATACTTTCCCAGCTAATCTTATATCATTCAAAGTAATTTTACTCCAGAATCAAAACAGTGCCTAAAAATGTTCCTCTAAATGGTTCACTTAACTAAAAGGTTAACTCTCACTCATTAGGCTGAACAGTTATGCTGCCAAATGGATTTTATGACAAGAACAACTTGCTTTTAGTCTAAAAATGCATTCTCAATTATCTGACTGAACTGCAGATAACAGATATCATCTCCTTACATTGAATTGAAATATGTAATTATCACAAATACACTAGACTAGATTCTCATACAGGTACACATGCATAGAGACACATGTGTCTGACTTTACAATAACCGAAACCAGCCAGATATATATATAATGATATATAAATTCTCTTTATTTTGTTTGGGACTTTGTTACTCATACAAATACACTAGACTAGAGAACTCATACAGGTACACATGCATAGAGAAACATGTGCGTGACTTCACAATAACCGAAATCAGTCCCCTCACCTGTGTTCTTGTTGCAGGCAATGGACACCTCCTCCAGGATCTTCTCTGCCTTTCCTCCCGAGAGCCCGACGGTGCGCATGTTCACCCACACCAAGTGGTTGTCTGTCCCTCCCGTGACGATCTTGTACCCCTTCTCCTGCAGTCCCTTGGCCAGAGTTTGGGCATTCTTTATCACCTACAGAAATGTTTTAGAAAAGTGAAATAGGAGTTGGAAAAAATATATATACAATAATAATAATAATAATAATAATAATAATAATAATAATAATAATGACAGTACAATACCCTCTCTTATTCTTCACACATTTTTATTCACACTCCCAAAAAAGTGAGGTATGCATATACAGGCATACTTCCAAGCATCTTGTTTATTTCTATTCGTTTTATGGGTCTAGTAGGGTCTGTTATCGCAACCATTTGGTCTCTCAGAATATAACAAGTTATTCCACATTGGAATTCCAACTTTGAAATTATTGTGTGAAATACAGCCTAAACCCTGTTAGTGAACACCATTTTATTGTGCAAAATATCTCTTTAATCTGCTGTATGAGCCAAAGGATGATGATGAGCACACACAAATATATTCAATACAAATTGACATACAAATTTACATCTCCTCCATAGACTATTTCTGTTGGTATATTCTTACATACATTACATGATCATATAAATTGTTTATACAAGGTGGTCACCGGCTACCTGTTCCCAAATCTCGTTCTCAGCCCGTGGAATAGTGTGGGAAGCTGTACACATTAAAGAAGACATTAAAGAGAGTTCGGTTGAGTTGACTGGAAACAAAACGGAAGCATCGACAAACCTGCTGTTGGTACTCCTTGAAAGAGGGTTCGGCAGCCTGCCTCATGGCCACAGCGATGCCAGCAATCTGATGGTTGTGGGGGCCTCCCTGTAGTCCGGGGAACACAGCTTGGTTGATTTTGTCTTCGTAGTCATACATAATGGGCTTCCCGGTCTTGTCGACGCCCTTCTGACCTGGGTAAAAGGAGGTGGTCTTGAGGATTTCTGTTATTAACAATGGAGGTTTTCTCCTTTTGTTGGTCTGTAGTGGGTGGGTTATTACCATGAAATGATTCCTATCAGGAGAATAGCTTACTGCAAACAAACAGCTAACATAACTTCATTCAATACTTTCATTAGCCTCCACATGTCATTCAGTGGTGGGCACAAGGCTCATATACTGACTGACAGGAATGTAAGCACTAACAAGGCTTTTGCCTTACATTATATTGCCTGTAATCAAGTCTAATTTATTTGAAATGGCAACAATATTCAGTCTAAGTCCATATAAGTAAAGGCCTGATGATGCAAAAGGTATTAAAAAATAGAAAATGTATTTCTCTCAATATAATTTCATTTAAAGTCACATTTTTCTAAATTTGACTTTAAACAATTATCACTAAAAATATGATTTTTTAGTATTAATACAGTACTGTCTTCTGTTACCAGTCTAAAGATAAAGTATTTCTAGTTCAACATAATACTGTAATTTGCAAATTAGTGTTGAACATGCAAAATGTCATTATCAAAAGTAATAAGCCTCTTACGAAATTGCCAGAAAATAATTAAATACATCATCAAATAGAATCCATCAAATACACCTTAAACTTAAATAAAATCTCAATCAAGTTAACTTACCTTTCCTGTAGAAGATGATTCCACTGCGAGGACCGCGGAGAGTCTTGTGAGTGGTCGAGGTGACGATGTCGCAGAACTCGAAGGGGTTGGTGGTCAGGCCGGTTGCCACGAGGCCGCTCACGTGGGACATATCGGCCATCAGCAGGGATCCGTTCTCGTCGCAGATCTCGCGGAATTTCTTGTAGTCTAGGTGCCGAGGGTAGCAGCTCACACCTACGGAAAAGGTGTAAAGAATTAATTTTTTCCCAGAATTTCTGAGCTGCTTACAATTAACTAAATGGGATACAATATTCATTTTCATAAATTTTGGAGGGGTTTCACCAGACCTTAACCCATTCAAAAGGCCTTTCAAAAGGCAAGCATCTCAACTTTTGATTAAAATAGACCCCTGAATAAATACATAAATATGATGGTTGCAAATTTCCTCACTTACAAGGGCAGTGTATTTAAAGAAAAAAAAAAAAAAAAAAAAAAAACCATAATACTGTAATTTGCAAATGTAGTGTGAACATGCAAAATGTCATTATCAAAAGTAATAAGCCTCTTACGAAATTGCCAGAAAATAATTAAATACATCATCAAATAGAATCCATCAAATACAACTTAACTTAAATAAAATCTCAATCAAGTTAACTTACCTTTCCTGTAGAAGATGATTCCACTGCGAGGACCGCGGAGAGTCTTGTGAGTGGTCGAGGTGACGATGTCGCAGAACTCGAAGGGTTGGTGGTCAGGCCGGTTGCCACGAGGCCGCTCACGTGGGACATATCGGCCATCAGCAGGGATCCGTTCTCGTCGCAGATCTCGCGGAATTTCTTGTAGTCTAGGTGCCGAGGGTAGCAGCTCACACCTACGGAAAAGGTGTAAAGAATTAATTTTTTCCCAGAATTTCTGAGCTGCTTACAATTAACTAAATCAAATAAAATATTCATTTACAGAAGGGGTGTAAAGAATTAATTTTTTTTTATTATTTACAATTAACTAAATGGGATACAATATTCATTTTCATAAATTTTGGAGGGGTTTCACCAGACCTTAACCCATTCAAAAGGCCTTTCAAAAGGCAAGCATCTCAATTTTTGATTAAAATAAACCCCTGAATAAATACATAAATATGATGGTTGCAAATTTCCTGGGTTACAAGGACAGTGTATTTAAAGAAAGAAAAAAAAAAAAAAAAATTGAATATGCAGGAAGAACCATTACCCCAAGTGGTTGACCTTCCTCATCTTGGACTTTTGCAAAATTTAACCCAAGGACACTGGGTACATGCGCTGTCCTCTACAGATTTATCTTATTATCTTTTCTTTTAAACAAGAACAATCTGAGTGAGTGGTCACCGAGGGTCAAATACTAGGAACACCTCACCAGTGATTTTTAATTTTGAATATCATTACCATCATTAGTAATTTTATTATCATCATTTTGATTATTATTATCACTATCATTATTGATATTATAATATTGTTCCCAATAACAAAAATAATAAAAACAATACTCTTTACCAAATAGGTCAGTTCAAATAGGCCTAGCACTTGACTTCTTCATAACTACACCCTTGATGAACAATCAAACAGAAAAAAAAAATAATAATAATAATAATAATAAACGAAAACCACAGCGGACAGTTCACAGGCAATCCTCGAAACAAATAAACCCAACAAAAACAAATGCCTCGATCTGAACCAAAAATCCCACGTTTGAGGATCTCTCTCTCTCTTTCCCGTCCTTCATACCGCCCTCACCTGCAATGATCAACCTGGGCTTGAAGAGCTTGGCAGTCTCCTGCAACTTGTCGTAGTCGATCAGCTCGGTCTCGACGTTGATCTTGTACGGCATCGACTCGAAGAAGATGGAGGTGGCCGACACCTTCTTGGTCGCGGTGTAGAAGCCGTGGGTCAGGTGGCCACCATCGGGTAAGTCCAGACCTGAGGGGGGAGGAACAAGGTATAGGTTATACTTATAGACCTGAAGGGGAAGGAACAAGGTGTGGGTTATACTTATAGAGCTGAAGGGGGGGGTTATACTTATAGAAATTACGTAATTCCTCTGCTTCTTAAATACCATTAAGGATTAATTTCTAATAAATAACCTACAAAGTATACTAAATCTACCATCAAAACGTACATGAAAGCGTTGCTATGTTGTCCCATGCAATCTACTCATAAGTTTCCCATTCTATTTCTTACCTTTCTCTGCTTTCAAATAACTTTATCAACAGTTTTTTTTCCCTTTCTTTTTTTTAAAGAAACCTCAATCACATAGCCTTAGAAAGAATGATACGCAAAAATACATAGCTACACAAATACGCACTTGTTCACTAATTTAGCCCTAGTAATAAAAAGTTCTTTTATACTTAATAAATAGTTATAATACTAATTAGGGATATATTCTTTAAGATAACCTGCATATGGCTGTTTAGTTCCATGAGGGAGTTGTGTTATGCTGTCAACATTCATTCCACCTTTTAGAATGTGGTTTCATGTAGGCTAACATAAAATATGCAGTCTAAAGTTAAGATATGAAAAAAAAGTGAATAAGATTTTAATAATAATTTAAAAAAACAGTGTGGAGTGTGGTTTTATATAGGGTAACAAATCATATAATCTAAAGAGAGATTGTGAAAAAAAGTGAAAAAAAATGAATAATAATGAAAGGAATCTAAAAAATCATTTGACATGCTCCCAGCCAATAACATACCCTATGAATGAGTAAAATCAAATAAAAGATTTATAAAAAAAAAATATATATATATATATATACACATATATAAATACAAAACCAGGAAAAAAAAGATTAAAAAAAAAGGCCAAAGCAAATAAAAAAGAAAAGAAAAAGAAAGACAGAGAGAGAGAGAGAGAGAGAGAGAGAGAGAGAGAGAGAGAGAGAGAGAGAGAGAGAGAGAGAGAGAGAGAGAGAGAGAGAAATCCACCGACCCATAATACGGCCATGAGGTTCGACCAGAGCAGTGTAGACGGCGAAGTTAGCCGGAGAGCCTGAATACGGTTGCACGTTGACACCCCACTTTGCAGGATCGAGGCCAAAGGTTTTGAGAGCGCGTTCCTGGCACAGTCTCTCAACCTCATCAATGAACTCGTTTCCACCATAGTACCTGTAACGATAGCATTTAGTTATTGTTAGTATTGATTTTAGTATTAGTATTTAGTATTGATAGCATGTAGTTGTTATTATTTTCGTTATAGCATTTAGTTAATGAGAAGCAAATGCTAAAAAATATGGCTTATAATAAATTTGTCACAAAATTATTGCATTATTTTCTATCAACATATCTCATTATATAAAACTCTGGCATATGATGCAACCAATTCAAGAAGTTTCATAAAATATGGACACAAAATAAAATCAACGAAGAAAGGAGAAAGAGAAAGAAAATAAAAGAAGGGAGGAGAAAAATAAACAGAAGAAAGGAGAAAAAAAGAGAAGAAAAGAAAAGAAAAGAAAAAAGAAAAAGAAGAAAAGAGAGAGATAAAAAAAATCTCTCACCTCTGGCCCACCATGCCCTCTGAGTACTTGTTAGTGAGGCAGGACGAGAGGCACTCGTTGATTGCACGCGATGCAAAGTTCTCCGAGGCGATCATCTCAAGCCCATGCCTCTGGCGTCTCTGAGGGAAGAGGGAAGAGGAATGAAGACAGGTTGAATAAAAGGACTGAACAACGGAGGACTGAATAAATGGGTATTGATAATATAAAAGAAATGATTAACAGGTGATTTGAATCAAGTAATTATTCTTGAATTATTTCTTTATCAATCAGATGTATGCATTATCCAATAATGTATTGGTACCATTTCCTTGGGCCACACCCATTATATCAACGCCCATGCTCTCTGTCAATTATATGCATTTGTATTTCCTGCCTCTTTCTTCTTCTGAATGGCATGTACTGAGGTATGGATTAGGAATTTTGTTGCTGTTTGGCTGATTTCATACAGCTAAACTTCCAAACTTTTCCTCTCTAGCTTTTGCCCTCTGCATGATGTACAGTACTATAAGATATAATGTGAAATAAAACTTGTTATATAAGTGTGTATTAAATATCATACATGATTATGCTTAGAAAAATGGCTAAAAGCATATTTGCTGGTTATATATGATAAAAAATCTGATTTTTGTGTGTTTTTGTGTGTTGAGATTAAAGTAACAAAAACTTGGCAGAGATTTTAATGGCTGGGGAGATATGTTAAAGAGCTTGCAGTTCATAGGGGATAAAATATTATGGCAGTACAACTAAAAATGCATATACACTGTGTAAATAAGTATACAAAAAAAAAGAAAAAATACATGAAGAGAGCAAATATAAAAACCCTCTGATACTAATGCAAATTCTCTCATACTTCCATTACTTGGAACACTTGTATCAACAGATGTAATATATCTGTAATATTAATTAACACCTGCTAGATTCCATTTTGAGTTTTTTTAATTACCATATCCATTTCAAAGCTCTGGCCCTAAAGACAGGCTAACAAAACAGATGATGAAATCTTTATACTATTTGTACTACTACTACTAATAATAAAACCAACAATTGTCAAATGAGAGCACAATTTCCTATGAACCTTTTTTCTTTTATCGGGTAAATATTCAGAAGATATAGATGCTCGGCACTAGTCTACAAGTCGCACCCACACAACAGCCACTGACCTCTGTACCTGGAACATTCTAAGTAAGGTTAATCAATCATGTATATTCTTGTGAGAATTTACAGACCTGGCAGCTCACCAACTAAGGAAACGTCCCAAGCTATATCATGAATATACATGGTGAACATTTGTTGTCCTTTACTACAGCGTTGATGACATGGCAGTGGTAGTAATCACCTGTCACTATGCCATTATCAGACTGTACAATGTACTGCAGGCCTTCCATCATAGCAAGGGTAAATGGTCAGAATAGGGCAGCTCAAAATTGAAAATAAAAGTGAGATAATGACCATAAGGAATTTATAAAATAGCAGCAATACATGCTGAAAAAGTATTCAGAAATTACTGGTAGGGTCACTGCAGCCGCCTATCGCAGTCTGCAAACTTGGGCTCACGGAACTCAGTCCGAAGATGTAGTGGCCTTTGCACCCCATGGTCTAGTACATGCAAACCGACCTCCACCAACTGCGTTCTGGCAGGACAGATTACCGACTTCCCTGGCAATTCAAGCACAGGTTCCCCAGGCCAGAATCAGCTCCAGTCCAGCAGCCAACTTCGATTATCA